TCTTTGACTTCCTCGTCTTTTGTATGCCATTCCAGTAATATGTCATATAATTTAGACAATGTTTTGTTTTTGCCTTCTATTATTTCTATATTGAATTTTGATTTCTTGTCCTCAAAGCCCATTTTTCTTTTATCTTGTTTTAACATATCATTCACCTGATGATATTGTAACCAGCCGGTGAATTGATCCTTTATTTCCTCATACGGTTTAAGTTTAAGCCCTTGTTCTGATTTTCTTAGCAAATCTTCGTAGGTGGCTGTCTTCCCTTCCATGTTGGTTTTTTTATTGTTAAGACCTCTACTGGTGAAATCCACCATGGTGTTTTTCTTTCGAGAAGGTTCTTATTTCTTTCCCAGACCTGATATATTGGTCCCCTGAAAATATGGTTTAAGAAAGCCCTGTGGACTTTCACCTTCTCGTACCAGAGATATGCGTGCCACCCATACCGGTTATTGAAACCTTCTAAATCCAGTAGGTCTCTGTTCTCCAATTTTATCCAATCTTTTAACCAAAGTAGGCACGCTGCTTCATAATATAGGCTCAAATCTGGGAGGGCAAAACCTCCTCTTTCCTTTTTATCAATTAGTATTTTCATTTTAATCCTTGGTCTTTTCCCCTGCCAGATGAATTTCATCAGGGTTCTCTGCCATTCTTTACATTGTTTTAGACCTTTAATAACTGGAAGAGTTTGAAATAAAAACAACATCCTCGGCAAAACATTCATTTTAACCACTGCTATCTTCCCTAAAAAGGAAAATTTCATCCTCCCCATATTTCCAGATCTTTCTTTATTTTTTTCCATGTAACTTCATAATTATCTTTATATAGGTTTATGTTTTTGCCGTAATCCACACTCCCAAATATTTCACTTTTTTCACCACCATGATTTCCACTTTTTGTTCTAGATCTTTCGTTTCTTCCTTAGTTAGATTTTTAACCAGCATTTTAGTTTTATTCTTGTTTACCTTAAAACCTGCCACCTCTCCAAATTCCTCAATTTTTTGTAATGCTTCTTTACACTATCTTGTGGATCTTCCAAAGTCAAAACAATATCGTCGGCAAAGGCTTTAATTTTGAATTCCTTCTTTCCTACTCTAATTCCTTTCACTTCTGTTGCCTCCCTCAGTCTCTTATTAAGTACTTCCAAAATTACAATAAATAATAAGGGGGACAGGGGGCAACCTTGTCTGGTCCCTTTATAAATGTTAAAATATTCTGTTGTATTGTTATTTATCACCAGCTTTGCTTTCTGTTCTTTGTATATTGCTTCTATGCCTCTTCTAAATTTTTCGCCAATTCCCATCCTTTCCAAAGCCTTCTTTAGGAAGTTCCAGGAAACATTATCAAATGCCTTTTCGGCGTCTATGAAAACCAGTGCGGCTTTTCTGTCTATTTTCATGTCCAGGTATTCAATAATGTCAATCAAATTCCTTACATTATCCCGTGATTGTCTCCCTGGGAGAAATCCTGTTTGATCACCATGAATTTTATTAATCAAGACCTTCTTTAATCTTTCCGCCATTATGTCTGCAAATAGCTTATAATCATTATTTAATAATGAGATTGGCCTATAGTTCTTTACTTCCATAGTGTCCACCTCTTTTTTAGGGATCAATATAACATAGGCTTCCTTCCAGGTATTAGGTATCTTTCCTTCTCTCAATATATTGTTCATAACCTCTCCCAGCACTGGTGATATTTGGTTAATTAATGTTTTATAATATTTGGCCGGAAGGCCGTCCGGTCCCGGCGCCTTCTCAGCTTTCATCTTTTAATAGCCTTTTTATCTCTTCCTGTGTTATTATCTCATCTAGTGCTGCTCTTTCATCTTCTACAATTTGTTCCAGATGGTGTTTTTGCAGAAATTGATCTATTTCTTGTTCTGTTTCCTCTCCTCTTTGTACAAATCCTTATAATATCTTTGGAATATTCTTTTTATTTCTTTTGGTTCTTCCATAATCATATCTCCTTCTTTTATTTTACTGATCGTATTCAACTTCTTCCTTTCTCTCAACTGCCACGCTAGATATTTCCCTATCTTATTTGCGGACTCAAAGTTCTTTTGATTCATCCTTTTAATTTTCCACTCTATCTCTTGGTTAATTATTGTAGCAAATTTAGCTTGTAGTATTTTTAAGTTCTGTTTTAAACTCTCTTCACTAGGGTTAACAGTTAATTTTCTTTCATTTTCCATAATCTGTATTAAAATCTGCTCTTTCTTTTTTTCTTTTTCTTTTCTTAATTGGGTATTTTTCTGAATCAAAAAGTCCCCTCATGACCGCTTTTCCTGCGTCCCACACCATCTCTATGGAAGTTTCTCCATTTAAATTCCACCTAAAGTATTCTTCAATTGTTTCTATAGCCTTATTTACTATCCTTTGATCATTGAATAAATATTCATTCATTCTCCATCTGGCTGTTTTAACCTCTCTACCTTTTAACTCCATGGAAACCGCACTATGATCAGATAAAGTTCGAGGCCAAATTTCAGACTTAATTAAATTCTGTACCAATTCCCTCGAGACCCAAATACTGTCTATCCTCCCCAGCTCTGATTCGGATTTGAAAAAAAGTTAATTGTTTTGCAGTAGGGTTTTTAAACCTCCAAACATCCGTCAATCCCAAATTATTTACCATGTCGAAGAAAGATCGTGGTAGTTTACCTTCTTTCCCATCTTGTCTTTTTGTTAATCTATCCATATTCGGCGTCACCACCCCATTAAAATCTCCCATCAATATCATTTTCTGGTCCATCCATTCCATTAGTATATTATCTAATTCCAAAAAGAAAGCTGATTTTTTCTCATTCGGGGCGTATATTCCAACCACAACTATTTTTCTCCATGAAACACCATCTGTACCACCACTACTCTCCCAGGTTCTGCTTTATACAGTAGTTATGGGTCATATTTTTCCTTTATATAAATTACTACCCCTCTTTTCTTAACCTTGTCGGAGGTCACAAAGTCCAATCCCAATCTCTTATTACTTAATACTCTCTTGTGTTTTCCTATAACATGCGTTTCTTGAAGACAAATTAAATCCCAATTCTTTTTCAACAATACATGTGCAATCTGATTCCTCTTATTTTTATTGTTCAAACCATTGACATTCCAGCTTATTGTTTTTAAAGCCATCTATTAAACTATTCTAGCTAATTTAACTAGATTAAATAGAGACTACTGTTCCTTGCTTTCCTCCTCTTGTTCTTCTCCTTCTCCTGTTAAGCTCTCCTCTTTTTCTTCTTCTTCACTCCCTTCACCCTCCTCGTCTCTCTGTCGGTCCTCCCTTTCCACCTCCCCTTCAACTTTTCCCAGGTCCTTCTCGTATCTCCTCGCAAATTTTTGGAGTTCAATACTGGTGCTTAATTTAAACCTTTTTTCCTTAAAGTAGAATGAAATGCCTTCGGAAACTCCCATCTATACAATATCCCATTCTTCTTCAATTGGTTTGTTAATTTTTGTATGGCTCTCTCCTTCGAAGAAATCTCGAAGGAATTTCTCTAAAGATAATAATTGGGCTTCCTCCAATATATAACCTTTTATGTGGTTCTGTTGCAGTATTTCATTTCTTATTTCCAAAGTGTTGAACATGACAATTACATCACCTGGCAGCTTTTTCTTTCTGGCTCTGTCTGATTTTGGTCTTATTCGAAAAATATTTACTAAATGGCAGTTTACCTCCTCCTCGCTCTTATTTAACCAAGTTGCCAGCTCTTTTATCATTTTAGATCTAATATTCTCATTTGGGGTCTCTGGTACACCCTCAGTTTTAGGTTGGTTTGATTTTGCCTCATTTGCGTCATAGCCATATTGTCCAACAACTCCTCCTGCACTCTTTCTATCTCTTTAACTTCTACTCTAATTCTATCCACCTCCTTCTTACTAATTTTCGTATCTTTTTGCACCTTTTTCATTGAATCTTCCAAAACCTTAGTTCTTACTGATAAATCTTTAACCTTTCCTGTCAATTCCCCACCACTCCCTCCAATTTCTTATCCAAAGTGTCCTGTACCTCAAGTAATTTTCTCTCAATATATTGTTCATTATTTTTGAATTCTTTCCTTATTTCGGCCATCAGACTGCTATAGTCTTTAATTTCTTTACTTTCCTTAGCATCTTCTTGCCTCGACGACCTCCTTTCCGCTGGTGTTGCCACGCCTTTTTTTGCACCGTTTGTCATTTTGTAGGCTTGAAAGGTCTTGGGGTCCACCACACTAATGTTATTCAAAAAGGGATGAGGCACAGGATCACCGATAATCTCTGATGGGTTAATAAGTTACCGGGTCTGGTGTTGGGGTATAATAGCAGATATTAGGCATCACACATCAGGCTATACACAAAGTTTTACAATCTTTACCTTTTACAGTCTTTGTCCTCTTAGAGGGTGGTATTATAGAGGTCTGGCGTCACCAAAAATTTTTCTTTACTGGAGACTTGGCAGTTCTTCAGGAAGTGTTCTTTATGCTGGTTTAAATTCTCCTATTTGGCTTTTGGCGCATGTCCCTTTAAATCTCAAATACATGCAGAGGCGTAGTAGATCAAGGACAAGATGGAATGGCGGATAGCAAAGCCAAGTTAGGTCTCGACGTGGCTTCCTCCTCCCTTTTGGAGACCCAGGGGGACGTCACTAACATCAAGCCAACATTAAGGTCTTGTGAATACCAATGCTTTCTTCCACCCACTTCAAACAAAAAAGTTGATGTTAACAATAACGTCCTCAAAAACCTGTCAGTTAAAGCATCAACCAAATGCCCCAGAAACCTCCTTTCCTCCTCTCAAACCCGGTAAAGAGTCTCTATCAAAAAGAAGAAAACTCAGTATTACCTTGCTTCCAACTCTTTGTACTTTGTACTTTGTAAAATGTACTTTATTATCGAGGATATTCCCTCCCCTCGCTAGCGGTTACTTTCTTGCTCTTTCATTCACGTCTGCCAGCTTTTCGCTTTACTCCTTTATCATTCTTACCGCCAGTAGTGAATTCCTCCTTCCTTTGTCTTTAATTACTTCTCCGCTGGGTACTTCATTCAACTTCATTCAACGTTCCTTTTGTTTTTACTTTGATTGTTTTCCAGTGTTCTCCCTCCTCTGCTTTCATCAAAGCTTTAGAACTATTTCCCAGCTTTTCCTCTGTTGTTGGAGGTCCGCCGCTTTCACTCGGAGCCTGAGGCTTCACAGCATGGAGTCTGATGTTTCCCCTTCTCGCTGCGGCTCCAGCCTTGTTAAACGCCGGCAACACAGGCGAGCACACGCAGCCTTGCTGGGTGTTTTGACCAACAGGATATTCCACCTGTGGTTTAGGGGTTCACGGAGCCTTCGTGACCCCTCTAAGACCCCCACGCTGTTCGAGGCTCCTCAGACGAGTTGCCTCGCGCTCCTTCCCGTGGCCGCGGCGTCCCGGAAGCCTCTGCATTGAGTCCTTTTTAGCAGGAGCATCACTAACACAAACAGTTATTTCTCTCCAGATATCACGAGAAGATTAAATCCATGGCCCATCTTTCCTATGTGTCCTGGTTTCCCATGCAAGGATAGCTTTATGATTAATCACTTAATCTTAACATTTAAATTACACCGTATACCAATTGTAAGCCTGATTAAAAAGCAACCTGAAGGTTAGGCCCCAAAAAAGAAAATAGAAAAGATGAAGGTACAAACTCTCAATGAATTAAAAGAGGAGGCCTAGTGATGTGGCTGAGTAAAGGTCTGGCCCCTCATCCCTGAATGTGCACAGTAGAAAGAGGCTGACATAATTAAGATGGCGGATCCGGCAAATATAAGTATAAGGTTTTGCTCAATGCCCCACTGGTGGTTGGCAGGCAACCAGATAGTTAACTATGGGTGGGTAAGCTAATAGAACTGGAGTTGGGCCTGCCCCTGAGCTAGCATTGGCCAATCCCAAGAGAGGTAGGACTCTATCCAAGGAAGGGGAATATTAATGGGTGGAGATGTCCTAAGAATGGTTCTAATGACTGAGTGGTTGGGTAGTCTTCTGCACATCTCGGCATAACATATGGAGCTAAATAAAATGGAAGTGCACAGAGCTGTAGTCAATAGGTAGGCAATGCTCCCACCACAAGATGAGCCCTGGTGGATGTCTGATTATGCCAAATGTCAAAGCTCAGGCTCCCCAGGCTGTCGTCTTTGTAACTATAATCAGTTCTGAAGCACACTGGTAACTGCAGCTGAAAACTCAAGCCCTGCAGTCAGAATATATGGAAATTGTTGATTTGCATAGATATTTTTTCCCGTAACCCATAATTCCAGTCCCAGCTTCCAAGGCATGTGGAGAGGTGGCACACTGAATAAGCACACCTGACATTCACAAAATAAACAGATTAAATTTCACAAGAATATAAGAAAAGCAGTACTCGATCACAACATAGGCCCATGGAGTCCAGACTTCTGTTTGCAATGGCTTACCAGATGCCCCAAGGGACGCGGGTGGCACTGTGGTCTAAACCACAGAGCCTAGGGCTTGCTGATCAGAAGGTTGGCAGTTCAAATCCCTGCGACGGGGTGAGCTCCCGTTGCTCGGTCCCTGCTCCTGCCAATCTAGCAGTTCGAAAGCACGTCAAAGTGCAAGTAGATAAATAGGTACCGCTCTGGCGGGAAGGTAAACGGCGTTTCTGTGCGCTGTTCTGGTTCGCCAGAAGTGGCTTAGTCATGCTGGCCACGTGACCCAGAAGCTGTACGCCGGCTCCCTCGGCCAATAAAGCAAGATGAGCGCCATAACCCCAGAGTCATCCACGACTGGACCTAATGGTCAGGGGTCCCTTTACCTTTTTACCAGATGCCCCAATGGGAAGCCCAGAAGCTTTCGCATGTCAAAATTACAGGGCTAGAAACATGGTTATCACATGATTAATGCTGATATAGACATGATATGATTAATGCTCATGGTGGCTCCTGATCTAGTCCCTTGTTTAGCTTTCAAACCTATGAACACCCCGTCACCCAGTTATGTATTGTAGCCATTTTTGTCCAAACAAACATGGCTCTGGTCAATGTCACATGCCTACATGAGCCCAAACACAGCCAAATGCCTATTTTGTGGGGAAATCATTAGTGACATTTTCACGTTCTTACTAACAAAAGAGAAGAAAACAATAGTTGAATAAGGGATGAAGTAGACTTTGATTCCACCCTTCTGCAACCATACAAAATTGATATGCAATTCCAGAAGGCCAAGTACTTTTCCTCTACCACAGCAGAGAGGAAGGGAACCTTCAGCTTTTGTCTCTAAGCTTCTCGTTATCATGTGTGCACCAACTTGAGCTCCTTGGAGGAAAAGGTGGTATATAAATGTTGGTTGGCATCCGTCTATTTCGGGAGACAATGGAGGAGTTCACTTTTGGGAGTGAGGCCAAGCTGCTTGATGGTTGCAGCTCCTGCAGTGGCTGTAGAGACCAATGTGGGAGAGACAAGTTTTGTTGCAGCTGGGGCAGATGAAGGTGTCATGTAATAAAGAAACAATAACAATAATAAATTGCCAAGGTCATTCTTCCCAGGGAGGCCTGCTCCCATTGGTCAGTGTCAGAGCCAGTATGGTGCAGTGGTTAAGAGCGGTAGACACGTAATCTGGGGAACCGGGTTCGCGTCTCCGCTCCTCCACATGCAGCTGCTGGGTGAACTTGGGCTAGTCACACTTCTTTGAAGTCTCTCAGCCCCACTCACCTCATAGAGTGTTTGTTGTGGGGGAGGAAGGGAAAGGAGAATGTTAGCCGCTTTGAGACTCCTTTGGGTCTGTAAAGTGGGATATCAAATCCAAACTCTTCTTCTTCTTCTTCTTCTTCTTCATAGTCACATTTTTACTCCACCCTCTAAAATGTACAAAATTCAGATCTGGTGGGCAGCTGAGATGTAGGAAAAACAAGTGCCCATCATGGTCCTTACTGATGAGGTATTTAAAGAGTCTGGCTTGTTCATAGTCACTTCCACCCTCTCCTGTTTATAGTGTGAAATACAGGGAACCTTTAGCGCTTGCGGCTCACTGAAAGGAAGCCTCAATAAGCACAACTAATTTGTTCATATTCATCCCTCTCCCACTGATTTGCATTAAAATATAATTTTAACCAGGTTGACCTGTACTTAATGCACGTTTTAAATAATACTAGGGTTGCTGAGTGGGCCTTGTGGCCTTGTGCGGCTGCAGCTGTTGACCCTTTACTAATTAATGATTACTTTTGTTTTATTGCTGTATTTATTTCTCAGATTTGCTAAAAGCTACATTGAGTTTTAGAGGGGCAGTGCAGGAATATTTTTAAATGAATACGTAAATCAAGGGAAAGGTCCCCAGGGCAGGATTCAACACCACCTCCCTTTGGCTAATGTTTCTATGAAAGGCAGGACATGCATTGCGGTGCTTTCAAAATAATATAAACATGTTCTGTGTTACTGAGCTGTTAGCCAGGCAGATGATGCAAAATGCAGATACGTCCGTTTTGAATCTGCAGACAGTCATCTTTGAAGGAAACCAGGATTGTCCAAGCTCTCGCCACTCACACATGTTGAGCAGATGTAGGGCTCCCAGGTGGTACTTCTTCCAAAGACTTTAGGTGATGCACAGTTGTGCAGTGGTTTTTGGTTGGGGTGTGTGTTTCGAAGACCTATTACTATTTCTGCAGCGAGGTCCCTGTCTCTAGCATCCTAGAGCCAGGGGCGTACGAAGGGGGTGTGGGGGGGTGCTCTGCCATGGGTGCCACCCTGGGGGGGGGATGACAAGATGGCCCGCTGCCTCTCCCCCCAGCTGTAGAGCATCTGAAGGTGCGAGCGCGGCGTCCATATGGGCTGGCGCGCGTCGTCTGTACAGGCTGCTGCTCGAGCCCTGTCCGTACAGGTGCTGTGCATGTGCAGTCTGTACAGGCACCATGCATGCACAGTCCGTATGGCTGCTGCACATGCACTGACAGGCGGTTTGCCCCACCCCTCAGCGCCCCGCCCTGGGTGCCAGAGAGGCTTCCTCTGCCACTGCCTAGAGCTGCCCAGTCAGCATGAAAGGGGAACTTTTTAATAATAATAATAATAATAATAATAATAATAATAATAATAATAATAATTTATTTATACCCCGCCCAAGACTGGGCTCAGGGCGGCTAACATCAGGTATAAAAACAGTTGATTAAAATACAACTTAAAACAGGATTAAAATACAACTTAAAATGCAGCCTCATTTCAGTGGAAGCCCTGATCAAAACTGTTTTGGGGGAGAAAATGTCAAATCTTCACCAAGGCCAACTATCCAGACTGGTCCTACATGGGCCATCCTAGTCACCGAGAAGAAGACTTCTCACCCTTTGTGCTGTTTGAAGCTGATCAGAGTGAGAGAAGGCGAGTTAGGATCGGTTCCTAGGGTCACTCTGGAGAAAGCATGCAGGAAGAACCCCCAAAAAGGGGTTGCACCAGCCACTATGGGCATAAAGGTAAAGGTACCCCTGCCCGTGCGGGCCAGTCGTGACCGACTCTAGGGTTGTGTGCTCATCTTGCTCAAGAGGCCGGAAGCCGGCGCCGTCCGAAGACACTTCCGGGTCACGTGGCCAGCGTGACGAAGCTGCAACTGGCGAGCCAGCACCAGTGCCACACACATTCCAACATAAATAATAAACTTTTTATTCTGTTTTTATATATCGCTGTGTGAAGAAGGTACTTTTGTTTACCTGCCTGGATCTTTCTACATTCAACTTCATTGGATATCCATAAGTTCTACTATTGTCAGAGGGGAAGAAAAACTTTTCTCTATTCACTTTCTCCATGCTATGCATCATTTTATATATAAAAGAAATTACATGTTGCCTCTTACTTACCTTTTCTCTAAGCTAAAGAATCCCAAATACTGAGCCTTTCCTTCTAGGCAAATCGCTCCGCCTTCTTGATCATTTTGTTTGCCTTTTCCCAAACCTTTTCCAACTCTACAGCTTCCTTTTTGTTACTTGTTTTTCACCCAGTCCCTGCGCTGTGCTCTGAAGAGGACCGGGGTGTGGAGACGTGATCAGGTGCTCCTGTTCGTCTCTGTGCTGTGGAAAGTCCTCTGAAAGGCAGAAGGGGAGGCAAGGCTGTATCCCACATCTCCTGGTCAGTCCGCAAACCAGATCAGCAGGGCTTTCAGTTGCAACAGCTGCATTGAAGGAAGCCCTTTAAAAGAGACATCACACACACACATACACGAGTCATGTGCTATTTCACAGTACAGAAGGCAAGATGGATTGGATTTAAATCAAGGTGATTTAAACCAGCCATTTAAATCATGATTTCCAATCAGCCAGCGAGAGAGCCCTGATTTAAATCGTCGATTTTCATCAGCTTTCCCCATTTGTGCCTGAGCTATTTTCTGGAAGGCTGCAGTGCATTCTTATTGGAGGATGAAACCGATTAAAAGGGAATCATGTAGATTAGCTACCAGTGCCTTGGGG